CTCCTGCAGTGGTTTCTCTCCAAATATAATAGACAAAACAAAATAGAATTCTTCACAGGCCAAAGGATAGTTTCATAGATCATGCAAGTAAACTTTAATATCAGAATTAAACAAAATGACATAACGCTTGCAAAATTCAATGGCGTTCCTGTGATCTCCCTCTAGTTTTAGTTGACAATGGTGAAAGAGAAAACAAAGAAAAAAGTAGATTGGAGCTGTGAAAATCATGAAGTTAGGTGTCAAATATCAACATAAACAAAGCAAAATAGTAACAAGGAGCTCTATTTATTCACAACAATTCTGATAAGCATTTTGAACCAAAGATTTGTAGTGTGTAAACAAGGTTAGATATATATCTTGCCTCATCACCATCACGCATGAGTGAGCGCACTAACGTAGGTGCAGTGTAGAATATGGTCACCTTGTATTTGTCGACAATGTCCCAACATCGTCCAGGATCAGGGTAATTTGGGGCCTGCATATAACTTGTGGACATGTTGCTATCAATTGAAACACCTATAATGTAATAAATCAAAATATTTGGTTTAATGAAAATAAGATTCTTGTACTTATTAATGTCTGTTATACATCTAACAGTCAAAGTTTTAAATTTTATTTTTTGTTGGTATGCCGCAATATATTGTGATGGGTAGCATTTTACTACCTAGTTGCTTGCTTGATAAACTTTCAGAAACATCATATGACATGTTAAACCTTCCATCTACCAAGATGTTTAATCCAACATGTCCTAATGAACCAGGATTAGTTGCCAAAACTTGTTTTCTCCTTCCTAGACCTCAATGACAATCCTAGAGAACCAAAAGTTATATCATAAAAGCTATCCAATGCCAGATCTATTTTAAATCTGGATTAGTTGCCAATCTTGGAAGCTTAATCTCTTTTTCCATGTCAAATAGGAATTGTGAACCCTTACCCCCTCGTACACAACAACTGTTGCTCCATTAAGCATGGGCCCATAAGTGACATAACTGTGCCCAGTAATCCAACCACAGTCAGCTGTGCACCTAAAATCAAGTTAAAAGATATGTCAAGTAAGACCCAGCATCAATAGATTACTAAACAGCAAGCATTTCTAAAATTTCAAAAAAATAAGGGTGCAGAGTATCCAAAGTACCAGTAAACATCAGACTCTTTGTAGTCAAATGCATACTTAAATGTTGTAGCTGTGTACACCATATATCCTCCGGTTGTATGGAGTACGCCCTTTTAAAAGTTCATATGCATAAGAAAGGAAAATGAGAAACTACATAAAATACTCCAATCAAGCAAAATAAACACCTTTGGCTTCCCAGTGCTCCCACTAGTATACAGTAGAAAAAGGGGATCTTCTGCATCAACCCACTCAACATCACAAGTAGTTGGATATTTTGGGACAACCTCCTAGAAGAAAATTATGAAAATCAGCATTCCACAACTAAACAAACTGCTAATGTAAAATTATGGTCACTGGACAGGAACCACCAAAATGTCCAATACTTTTCTGTTTTTACACTAACCTCCCACCATATATCTCTACCTTCCTGCCATTTAGTGCTTTCCTTTTTCAATGCCGATTGGTTTTCATAAGTTAAGCATGTACCTGATCAAAAGATGATATCACCATAGATAGATAAGAGATGAGTTACAAAAATGAATCAAATAGTGTGTCATTGATGATGACAATCAGTGCAGCAACTTGAGTTAGCTGTTGATGTTGGTTGCTAAAAGTTAAGTACTCAGCCAGCAACCTGATTAACATCATCATGCTCTACATGGGGCTCTACATCTGGTTATGTTAAGCCAGATCTGACTAACAGATGGTACTCTCCAACAGTTATGTCAGGGAAACTGGCAACCACCTGCCCTTTTGCTATTATTGAAGGGAACAGCAGTGCAAGGGAAGACTGTTGTACCCAAAATTTTCAATGAAATAGAAAATAAATGTTAGGTTAAAGATATGTGCTCCAATTTATCGCATTAAAAGTTGTAAGATTCAATACAGGAAATGGGTTTGACCAAGTCTGAATACAACTAAAATGCTATGGAGAAAACCATGATCAAATCAGATACCAATTTCTTAAAGTTTACCAACCTATGGAGACCCCATTCTTAGCAGATTCAATAAGGGCAGCATCAACAATGTCCTTGAGGTGGATGGTCTTAGGACCTCTTTTAACAGCATTACAAGTAATAACAACTTTTGGTTTGCAGTCCACAATTCGTTGGGCAAGAGATTCTGCAGAGAATCCAGCAAAGACAACCTGAAAGGACAAAGAGGGCGGGAATATATCCAATAATAAAGTAGAAATTAACAAAATAATCACTTATTGTTTAGTACTTTAGTTGTTTGACAATGTTCATCCTTTTTTATGTGCAAGAAGAGGAGGCATGTACCGAGTGAACAGCACCAATGCGCGCACATGCAAGCATGGTAATGGGGAGTTCCATTAACATAGGCAAATAAACAACAACAGCATCACCCTTTCTAACACCAATACTTTTCAGGTAGTTAGCAAGCTGGCAAGAAGATGCACCAAATCAGAGGTGATTCCAATTGATTAAGTTGTAAACATGCGGCTAAATTAATAAAAACTTGAAGACACCTGGCAAACTCGGTGGAGTAGCTGGGAGTAAGTCAAAGTGGCATCAAAGCCAATTTCGTTGGATTCCCAATAAAGAGCGATTTTGTCTCCTAGTCCAACATCGATGTTTCTATCTAAGCAATTGTAGCACATATTAGTGATGCCGCCTTTGAACCACTGGTATGGCCCAGAAAGAACAAAAGAAAGAAAGTGATTACACTTATGTTGACACAAATGTTAAACAAGACTAAGACAAAACATGGAAAATGTAGAGAGAGAAAGACCTCGACCCTGATATTCCCTTTCCTCACATCGAGATTCTCAGAGTAGACCTGATCTCCCCATATTTGCTTCCAGTAGAACTCCGATGATGCAATGCCAGACCAAAATCCAGCGGGGTCCTCGATTGACCTTTTGTACATCTCCAGGTACTGATCTCATATCGCCCCACAATATTTTAAGAATCATCAATCACAATTTAATCACTCAGAACAAGCTAAATCGTAGAAAAAAAAAATAGATATCCATTATTTTGTTTTCATGTACAGGCACAGCTGCTACTGCTGCTGATGAATTAAATAAATGTACTATTATCGTCACAGTTATATCACCAGTATTAATAAAGAAGAAGCAAAAATGAGAAGAAACCTTTTGGGAAGAAGGAACCAGAGCCTGGAGAGACAAATCATCGCTTGGGAAAACGAGGTCGTCCTCATCCGAAGCAAAAGCCTCGCCCAAGATGACAGCGTTCAAATGGGAAATCTTGCCGGCGCCCGAAGGCAGAGAGGCCATGGTTTCCACATGTCTCAAATGGTTGGTAGTTGTCAGATTCTTGGGAGAGGGAGATGCCATGACCAACAGTCCTCCGCCAACCTCTTATTGAAGATGACCCAACCCGTTTTTTGCCCGGGCTCTATTATAACGTTGAAGCTGAGGGAGGGGAATGGTTTGAGGGGTAAGTGGTCATTGTCATCGTTTTTTTCTTTTTCTTTTAATATTTTTAGCTAATTCTGCACCAAACTGCCTCACATTGTTTTTTTTTTTTTTGTTACTTTATTGTTTTGATATTTTAAAATATGTCTTTTTATGATATTTAAATTTTTATTTTATATTTTAAAATTTATTTTTTATATTTATTTTAAAAATTATAAAACATTTATTCATTAAAAATAAAATTTAATATTATATACATCAAAATCAACTTTCTTTAATTTCATGAAAACTAATTAAAGATTATCTATTTGAGATAAAAGAAATTGTAGTTATAATTTTCTTATTACAAAATGGACAGCTTTCCTATTCCAAATGTTTCTTCTTATATACGCACACTTGATTAACGATAAATACTTATAGCTAGTTATCTGTAGATGAACTGAAGAAGAAATAATTCCCTTGCTTATTCCATTACAAATTTACAATGTAATAAAAAAATTCTATTTATATAAGTGTAATTTTTATATTTTTAAAAATTTTAAATTAAATTTAAATTAAATTATTTTAATGTAAATTTTTTTTAAATATAAAAATTATATTAATATAAATGGAATTTTATTTAAAAAAAATAAAAGACTAGATTACCAAAAAAGGAAAGATTGAACTTTCTCAAATCAAGACCACGAGTAGTTATTTTGTCCTATTCAACTCCTTAAAGCCGCCCCCGGCCCTTGCCCAATATATCTTGTAGACTGCAGCTATATCTAATAACTTAATATAAAAGTTATCCCCGTTTTGTACCGAGGGACAACTTAGTAATGTAATATATATATAGGGGTAATTTTGGACTTTGGTTCTCTAAAAGCTTCATCTGCTTTTATTCTTACAATTTCTTCTTTTCTTTTCAAAATCTCGTTAAGCTTCGGTACTCTTAGCACCATCAGTGATGGAAAGAGGAAAATGATGCCTTAGAAACTACATGTAAGATGAAAAATCACTTTTATTTTTCTTTATTTACTGCTAGGTTTAACAGATTCTTAATTTTGATTTCAAACTGAATGAAGCTTCTGAAACAATAGTTTTTTATTTTCGAGTTTCTCTGACATTTTTTATTTGGAGGTGAGTTTCGTCCCTATTAAGGTCCAATAGCAGTTTTGTTTTGTTTTTTGACAGTGTTTTTGAGATGGGGTTTGTGTTTTCGGTTGTTTGTTTGCCATATGTAGAGAAGGTTGACGAGGGTTGCTTCTCTAATAACAATGTTTAGGTCAATTATCTAGCAAACAGCTTGAGAACAGATAATAAGAAATAAAAGAAGATCAAAACTGGTCCTTTTGCTATTCCCACATCAAATACTCCCAGAGAAGCCGTGGTATGCTAATTCTGTTCGATAATCTTTTTTGTGCCAGGATGAATTTGTTTTTGCATCAATTATTTAATTTATTTTTGCATGACCATTATCATTTTCGTAATTTTTTGTTAAAAATATAGCCTTTACAATGGTTCCTTCCTAGGTAAAGTCTCATTTAAAAAAAAAAAATTTGGGTTTTAGACCTTACAGCCACATCGAGTTGAGAGACGGAGAGTTGACCCTAAAACTGTGGCTTCAATCATATTGCAATGAGGCACAGGCGGATACACCTGCTGTAAGGACATATAAATTCTCTTATGCTAAACTCAGTTTCATGACAAAATTGACTGTTTATTTTAATGATATTTGACAGTATATGCTTGATGCAGAATTTGATACTTAAATTAGATTCTATTGTTACATTGAATCTAAGGGCATGTTGGTACCAGTTTTGAGTGTAGTGGATGATTTAATGTAAATATGATCTGTAGGTTCTAGTTGGAGAATGCTATAAGCTGATAGACATTCCAACGAGCAACTATATCAACAGTAAGATAAGCAAGAACTTTGTTTTGACCCAGTTTAACTCAACTTCCCTCAATCGACACCTTGCGCGCACGTATTATGTCAATGGTATCAATTTTGGGGATGGGTTGGTGGAGGTATGAAATCGTTAAGGTTAATAGAAGATCAATTTGCGACTTTCTACTTATTTCACAGGTAGAGTAAGATGGCTGGAGGATGATTTTGTATCAAGAGAAGAGAAAAAGAATTTCCTAATTAAATTTCCTGTTGAATATTGATAATCAATCTAGAAACACAGAATTAACTGTGATTTTTTCTTGAAGATAAAACGAAAGCCGCGCATTCTTTGTCAACTTAATTAGTGCAAAACTCAAGTTGAAATTTTTTTAAGAAATTCTGCTATCCAATCATACATGATCTGTAGTAATTCTATTGAGGGTTCGTTGATCGTTAGATCACTTGACAAAACTCACTTGATTAACAAGTTCTGGCTACCAGTTAGACATCAGGAAAGGCAATGAAAAAATGGTTCCGACGAATTGCAGATGTTGTGAGGCAATTTATATGGGTATTTGAGGTAGGAATTGCGAGGTTTATTTCTCTTTCTCATGTCATCTCAAACTGGAACTGATAAAAATGGGTGGGAATTCATGTATTTCACATTTCGTTCAACCAGAAATAAAATGTGATAAATCAAATTTATTATTGTTGGATGCAAAGAATAGGAACATTGAAAATATACTGATCTTGTGTAGAGATCATCTCTATCGAATGGATTATATGAAATTTCTACACTTATTGATTACTTTTACTCAACTTGACTCTTTTTTTTTTTTAGCATTACTAAAAGCTTAACTAACTTATTTGCAATGCCTGATAGAGTCACATTGACAGTAATGCTGATATTACAATTTCATGCATTACGGTGGACAACAAGTCTTTTGATCTTCTCTCATCTTAATAATGTAGTTTTAAGTTGTATATATATTTTCTCTAATTGTTCCCTATTAGTACAAGTTTCATGGTTTACAGTCATTGGATGAAACTATCCCTTAGGTATATTTTTGCATCAATTTTCTTTTGGAAAAAGAGTGATGAATTAAAAAAAAAAAACAGCAAAAACTATGATTTATTTTTGGATCTACCTTCCTGTATTATAACTTTGCATTGACAAATCTTAAAATTCATTTAAAAAGCTGACCATCAAGCTACTTTCCAACCGTGCACCTGATTATGGACTATTAAAGATAGATGGCAGAGGCCGTATTGTCCAGTTTGCTGAAAAACCAAACGGTGCTAATTTGAAAGCAATGGTAAACAACAAGAAAATGTGCTTAGTCCTGTTTTTCTGTATTTCTGAAATTCAACATTTTGAAGGAACAAAAATATTTAGCAGAATCCTATGAAAAATATATCATATGCTATGACTTTGAAGGAAAGTTTTGATAGTTTCGTACTTAGTTGCAGGTATCTTAAGTTTTGCTTCTGAGATGCAATTCATGTTTGACGTCCTACCATCTTTTTCTGGGTCTTTCTTGGTTTGCTGTCGTGATTTTACTTTCTGCGACTTTCCTTCTTGCTTTTTAAATCCTCCTTGGAGATGGTTCTTTATGAAACCCGGCCATTTATGTCACTGTAGAAGTCATCAATGGCTATTTATATCTATACAATAAATTAAAGCTGTCCCTGGCTTCCAATTTAAAACCAGGTCAACTTTGACATTTAACTTGATTTGAGGGTTAAAGATGTCTGTATTCAAATTAAAAATAAAGTTACTAATGCGATTCTTCCCAATTGAAAGGAGAATTAGGGTTAGGATTTTCAATTCCAGAGTTGAAATGGCGTGGTTGCTTCAATTGAATCCGATTTCTACTTTGGAATTACATAGGTCCATCCATTTTGATTAGGTGTTTTTTTCTTTTTTTTATATATATTTTGTGGAGAAATCTTATTGTGTATGCTGATTTCGGTTTCGGGAAAATTAAAGAAATAGGAACTATCTATAAGAAAATGGGTTTCTAATTTCTCTTTACGGTTTTTTTTTTTTTTTTTCAAGAAATTTTGATGCGCGTTGCTATCTTTTTCCTTGGTATTTGGTGGATACTGAGAAGATAATAATTTTTTTTCTTTGCCGATGAATTTGGATATGGCATAATGAATAAAACTATGGCTTCGATATTTAATTTTTAATTTTTTTGTATTTCCGTTTGGACTATCAGTCTTTCATGTCAAAATTTCATATTTTTCTTCTAAACAATTAAAAGAGTGTAGTTTTCATATTTGATCCTTTTTTTAACGTATTCTGTATGGTTTTTGCACATAATTTTTTAATTTTGTGCTTATCAATTTTGACATGGATAAGTTTCTTATGGTTTTATAAGTTATCTTGTTTAAGATTTCCTTTTGGTGATTTTAAATTATCTATGTATTTTTAATGGGAAATTTGTTAATTTATTTGGTTTTGAGTATGCTTTTACAATTTAGATGGATTTGAAAATAGAAAACAAAATAGCTACTATTCTTTTAAAAGATGCAGCTGAACTGAAATGACAAGTAAACATGGAAGGTGTTCATGTTCATCTCCAGAAGTCAAAAGTAAGGGGATGGACAAATTCAAGGTTCCTTATTGCAACTGTGCTTGATCTATAGCAAGGTTAGTTATTCTATTGCATATTAAGCTTGCATTTTCTTATGTTTGATTCTAGATTTATAAATGCTTTGCATTTGATGCTGAGTCTTCACCTTCTTTGCTTGCTAACAAGTTCTAGAAACAAAGTTAAATTGCTAAGAACATTGGTAATAACAATAGACAAACAATTTAATGGAATTTGACAAAAAAGTGGTGATTGATGCGCTATTCTATTAACACAAAAGTGAATCTAACTTTGATGGTACATTTCACGCATGTGTTTGTCTATTGGGAAGTGAATCTAACATTACCATTATTAAAGAAAAGGTACTTTATTTCACTATTCTTAGTTCTTGAAACTTCCTTTTGTCACCAATAAGTTAAAACAAGGTTTACATTTCTATTGTTTTAGGATATGGGAAACTAATAAATTATTTTTTTATTAAATGAGAATTTTGATAAAAATGCATAACTTGATAGGATTAGAATATGTCATAGATCATCCATAGATGAAGCTATAGTTTTTAAGTTAGTGAAGAGACAAATAAGAGAGCAATTTTTCAAGACAAATCTTTTTATTTAAAGTAGAAGTCGATGGT